GTTTTTCTGTGTCTGGTCGCTCGAGCGACCAAGTCTTCGCTCGAGCGAGCCAGTTCGGTTTAAATAGGCAGCAGCGTGTTTCAGATCTGTTTTTCATACACTTTCATATTCCAAAACCCTAGTTACGAGTTTTCTCTCCATTGGACCTTTTGGATAAGAAGTGTTTTATTAAGTTTTTATTATTGGGGCTCATGAACAAGAAGAACTTTTACTTTGTGGCTTTAGAAGATTACCTTACTCACCTAAGGGATGTGCTGACACTAGAAGTTAACAAATGATCTAACCTCCAGGTCCCTTGAGAGACTCAAATTTGAGGTCTTGAATCTTATCTTTTAAGTTTTTACCACTCGGCTAATTCCTTAGAGTTACTGAAGGTAGACTTAGGTGATGATAAACAAAATGTTGTGGTTTGCCCTGCTCATCACTCATGCCTGCTCTCGTGTTTCGATTTCTTGTGTTGTGTTCATTTATGGCCCACAATCTAACTTGTTTATGTTTTCTTATGCCTTGAAAACAATGTAAGAAAGTCCCATGTCACATGGTAAAAAAATAATGTGCAATATATAACCATGAGGGTCTTCTCACCTCAAATAGATAGTTTTTGGGGTTGAGTTCTATCTAAAACAATGTAGCATGGTATCAGAGCTAAAATACTGCGGGATGGGTTGGATGCTTTGGCAAGCCATATGCCATTGCCAATTCCACCATACCATCTTTGTTTAAAGAAGGTTTTATTTCTTTTTGTTCTTCTTTTATGGAATTTATTGTGCATTTCACCAAATTTGCCTTTAGAAGCTATTAAACACTTCCTATTAAATTTCTACTGCATTTGATGTTTTTCATCGTTGTCATCGTTGTTTATGTGTGAAAAATTGTTTGACAGGGTGTAGAACAAAATCTAGACAAAAATTGCACAGGTTCTCTTTATTATCCAAAACAAGTACGATTTCTAATGTGCTTCTTTTTGTTCCTTGACTCAACTTAAAAACACAACTTTGCTTGGCATGGTTTTGACATGATTTTTTTGGCAGCGTTTCTGTCTGCAGTATGCGTTAAAATACATCAGGACACCATTTTTCATCTTAAACTCAACATATGATGTGTACTAAGTAAGATAAATTAAAGTCCTATGACATATATTTTTTCAGTGCTTCTGAGGTAATAGTGAAAAATGAGTACTACTTTCTTATCACAGTTCCATCACATATTGGTGCCACCTTCTGCTGATTTGAGTGGGCATTGGAATCATTGTAGGCTTAATCCAGCGGCATGTAATACAAACCAGACAAATATCTTGCAAGGTTATTTTTTGTCCTTACATTCTTAAATTTCAATTGCTTTCGATATTCTTTTCTAAAATTTCTTTTTTCTTTTCATTTTTATTTTTAATGATGATTATCTTCAATTTAGAGAGCATACCTCTCATATTAAATATAAAACTTTCATAAATTTTGCATGTAATTTTTAATATGTGTTATCCTTTATGATAGACATGTTTATTAAAATTTCTATTCTTCAGGGTTCCGGAAAGATATGCTTGCAGCTTTGAGTTTATTTTTTAAATACTCAAAAAGAGGAGGGATGTTCATAAACTCATGTTTTGCGCATTGCCAAAGTGAGTCACAAGATACATGGCTAACATCAGACTCCCCTAGAGTGCACAATAAGGTTTACAAACTAGCCCCTTTCCTTGGTGGATATGATAGCTTTAATAAGTTGCTGTCATTTTCTAGTCGTGCTTTTCTCCTCTTTTGTATTTGTCCATTTATGAAGCACCAATGACAAGTAAATACACTTATGAAATGAATGCTCAGCTCTCAAAGTCTGATCTAAAGTTACATATCCAAAAAAAATTGTAAAACTAGATTGGTATGCGTCATAGTCATGTCAAATATTCTACAACCCATGCATAGAATGATTCAATCCTATGTGTGTACAAATTTAATTAGAAATCATAATCTATGACTGATATAATGTAATAAGTTGACAAAGCATGCCATGGTGTGGTGTTATAGTTCATGACTGAATATTACTTGTTCTATTAGCATAGAATATCTAAGGTTGCCATTTTAGTGATGTGATTAGTCCCTGCAAAAATTTATGCACCATTGACTATTATTAATATCATTGATTTCATCTATAATAATGAGATTTAAATCTAATGAAGTTTTCATAGTGAGTAGCAACCAGTCAATTTCTTGCAGACCATTGCAGAAGCAGTAGGCGATTGGTACTTTGGAAGAAGGGTGACCAAGGAAATTGACTGTGCATATCCTTGTGATTCTACCTGCCATAACTTGATAGGCTGAAACTGTAAGGTTCAGTTCAGGTATTACCTTTTGATAAACGATTCAAGCTTGCTAATGATTCTCAAAAATACATTTGGAGTGCATGGACCTTGATTTTATTCATCTAATGCACAATTTTTTGAGTATATTTAAGGTCCAATCAAGGATTTAATTATTAGGTGAAAAATATGAGCAGTTCTTTTTGCGAGAATTGCTCTCTTCTCTTTCTTACAAAAAGGATACAAAGTATTTACAGATAATTGATGAGAATCATGTTAGTATATAATGGTATATACCATTTGTACATTTAATCAAACATAGTTCTTCTTGAGAGAATTGCTAAGTCCAAAAATGCACTTTTCCGCACTTTTCCACACTTAAGCTTGAAAGTAGGCCTTCGGGGGTTAAAATCGTGCAACAGCCACGAGACGGCCCGGGGAACACCTCAAACACCTCGGGACGGACCAATGTGAGTTATGGAAACTTACGAAACTAGCATGAGACTCCCGGTTTGAAAACTAAGTCCAAAAATGCACTTTTCCACACTTAAGCTTGAAAATAGGCCTTCGGGGGTCAAAATCATGCAATAGCCACGAGACGGCCTGGGGAACACCTCAAACACCTCGGGACAGACCAATGTGAGTTGTGGAAACTTACGGAACTAGCACGGGACTCCTGGTTTGAAAACTAAGTCCAAATATACACTTTTTCACACTTAAGCTTGAAAATAGGCCTTTGGGGGCCAAAATCGTGTAACAGCCACGTGACGGCCCGAGAAACACCTCAAACACCTCGGGAGGGACCAATGTGAGTTGTGGAAACTAACGGAACTAGCACGGGACTCCCGGTTTGAAAACTAAGTCCAAAAATGTACTTTTCCAGATTTAAGCTTGAAAATAGGCCTTCGGGGGCCAAAATCGTGCAACAGCCACGAGACGGCCTGGGGAACACCTCAAACACCTCGGGACGGACCAATGTGAGTTGTGGAAACTTACGGAACTAGCACGGGACTCCCAGTTTGAAAACTAAGTCAAAAAATGTACTTTTTCACACTTAAGCTTTAAAATAGGCCATTGGGGCCCAAAATCGTGCAACAGCCACGAGATAGCCCGGGAAACACCTCAAACACCTCGGGATGGACCAATGTGAGTTGTGAAAACTTGCGGAACTAGCACGGGACTCTCGGTTTGAAAATTAAGTCAAAAAATGCACTTTTCCACACTTAAGCTTGAAAATAGGTCTTCGAGGGTCAAAATCGTGCAACAGCCACGAGATGGCTCGGGGAACACCTCAAACACTTCGGGACGGACCAATGTGAGTTGTGAAAACTAATGGAACTAGCACGGAACTCCCGGTTTGAAAACTAAGTCCAAATATGCACTTTTTCACACTTAAGCTTGAAAATAGGCCTTTGAGGGCCAAAATCGTGCAACACCCACGAGACGGCCCGGGGAACACCTCAAACACCTCGGGACGGACCAATGTGAGTTGTGGAAACTAATGGAACTAGCACGGGACTCCCGATTTGAAAACTAAGTATAAAAATGCACTTTTTTACACTTAAGCTTGAAAATAGGCCTTCGGGGGCCAAAATCGTGCAATAGCCACGAGACGGCCTGAGAAACACCTCAAACACCTCGGGATGGACCAATGTGAGTTGTGGAAACTTACAGAATTAGCACGGGACTCCCGGTTTGAAAATTAAGTCCAAAAATGTACTTTTCTACACTTAAGCTTGAAAATAGGTCTTCGGGGGTCAAAATCGTGCAACAGCCACGAGATGGCTCGGGGAACACCTCAAACACTTCGGGACAGACCAATGTGAGTTGTGGAAACTTACGGAACTAGCACGGGACTCCCGGCTTGAAAACTAAGTCCAAATATACACTTTTTCACACTTAAGCTTGAAAATAGGCCTTCGGGGACCAAAATCGTGCAACAGCCACGAGACGGCCCGGGAAACACCTCAAACACCTCGTGACGGACCAATGTGAGTTGTGGAAACTAACGGAACTAGCACGGGATTCCCGATTTGAAAACTAAGTATAAAAATGCACTTTTTTACACTTAAGCTTGAAAATAGGCATTCGGGGGCCAAAATCATGCAATAGCCACGTGACGGCCCGGGAAACACCTCAAACACCTCAAGATGGACCAATGTGAATTGTGAAAACTTACGGAACTAGCACAGAACTCCCGGTTTGAAAACTAAGTCTAAAAATACAAAGTTTCACACTTAAGCTTGAAAATAGGCCTTCGGGGCCAAAATCGTGCAACAGCCACAAGACGGCCCGGGAAACACCTCAAACACCTCGGGATTGACCAATGTGAGTTGTGGAAACTTACGGAACTAACACAGGACTCTCCGTTTGAAAACTAAGTCCAAAAATGCATGTTAAATTGTATATGTTATGGATAAGATAATAACTGTCTAACTGACATTTTTTTTTTTTCGGTGTTTCATTTTTGCAGATTCGAGATTTGATATGGACATGTTTGGTAATTTGGAGGGCCGATGGTAGCTCATTTTGTGTTTTTGTTCATTTTACCTTACATGTATTTTGGTTGTGTTGTAAATAAATATTTTTGTTAGTATTACGGGGCATGTTTGGTAATCTGCCCTTGATATTTTATTTTTGTTGATATTAGTAGACATGTTTTTTTGTTGGATATTAGGAGATGTGTTTGGTAATCTGCATACGGTTGATATTATATTTTTGTGGATATTAGTAGACTTTTTTTGTGGATATTAGGAGACATGTTTATAATTTGCCTGTAGTTCATATTGTATTTTTGTGGATAGTGCTAAAATTTGATTGTGATGTTTATGAAAATGAACAGATTTTTGTATTGATTTGTAATAGATATTTTATTGAACAAGTTATTGAAATGCGCAGGGAATTGTTACTGAAAAGAAAAAATTTCGGAAGAAAATAGTATTCTCATTTTTAAAATTTTTAATTTTTATTAGTGACGAAATAAAAAATGTCGCTATTAGTTTTCAAAAAACATGACAAATAATTTTGTCACTAATGATACAGTATGAAACAAATAATTTTGTCACATTTGCTGAATATTTCGTCGCAAAATTGAAATATTTGGTGACAAAATATTTTGTCATTAAATAATTTTCTTTTTTGCTCATTTTAGTGACGAATTTTTTTGTCACCTTAATCCATATCATTGGTGAGGAAAACTTTCATCACTAAATTATATTTGGTGACGAAATATTTCGTCGCAAAAAACAATTAAAATAAAATATTATTTAGTTTTGGTGACGAAATTGGTGTTTTAGAAGACGAAAAATTCAACATTTGAAGACGAAACATTTCGTCGCCAAAAATGAAAAATAGGTGACGAAACTGTTTTTCGTCACCAGGTACTTTTTGTGACGACGTATAGGCCACGAACGTGGTGACAAATTTTTTTCGTCACAGATCACTTTAGTGACGAAATTTTGATGTTTGGAGACAAAATCAATCTGTCGCCAAAGGCTTTTTTTGTTGTAGTGTCAAAGTAAGCCTCCGGCAAACCATTCCGGAATAGCATATGGCAAACACGGTGTCTTAGGCGCACCAATGCAAATGTAATGCAATAAGACACATAAGTGTAGCCAAAACAAGATATCATGAGTTCAAGTCAAGTTCTCTAACTCCCTAGCAGAGTCGCCAGAAACTGTAGACGCGCCCCGAGGGTCTCATGCTACAGTTCGGACTAAAATTGTCACAGCTCTTAATCTGATCTCACAGTGTGCAATGTGAGATTGATAAATCACCAAGGAGTCCAAATCCGGCAAATCGTTTTGAAAAACTGATTTTTAAGAAAGAAATACCAAACATGGACTGCTTTGCCAGATACAGAGTCGCCACCTAAATATTTCATTTTGGGGGAATTTAGGAAACCCTGACTCGTTGCCTAAGGCCACGTGTCCGTCATCACCAAAGTTGCCTCGGCTCAGGAACTTGGGTATGATTGGGGAAGGTCATCTATGAGCACCCCCGCTCGCCCGATCAAAGATCGGCCACTACTAAACATGATATTTTGTTTTTAAAAACACATGTGTTCTTATCCCGATTAATTAGCTAATCTTACTTTGTGAGGCGCATAGCAAACAAGTATAAACTAGATTGCCTAATTTGGAACAAAGTATTGCATATCCGTTTATTTAGAAGTGGTTTAAAATTTGCTACTCGTAAGTAGGCAAAAACACGGATTTCAGTGAATCATTCCAATTCAAGTAATCCAACCTTCACCCACAGGCATTTAGGCAGTTTATATCAACTAAGCAGGTAGCCTCATGGCAAGCATGCTTTCATGGCAACATTAACACACATGTAGTATGCTAAAGCGCAAAAGCTTACCTAGTACTCCAAGCCAAAATAGAAACTAGTTAGTAATCAATGCATAATCCTAGTTCATGTTAAGATGGCTGATGCAACACATGCAAAATGCAACTAGAAATAGGCTCGGCTATTCTAATATGGCATATGAGGTGCTACATTTGATACATGTATTCAACTTGGAATCGAAATACAATGCAGTCAGTATGATGCGCCGAGCCTGGTGCATGCAATATAGATGAACGATACAAACATGCAAACATAAGTATGCTAATTGAAAATGACCCTAAACTAACCATCAAAAGAAGGTAAGTAAAAGGGAGAAAGACGTGGGGTTGGCAGACTTGCACACACGCACTAACACTTATTACAAAATTTGTCCTCTCGACGGAGGGTCCGAATGAATAATACAAACCAACTCATTAACTAACTAACAAGCTAATTAATTATTACATAACCGAATGAATAACTAGCTACAACTAATTATTACAAAACTTAATTAATTAACAAATTAACTAATTAAATTACAAAACCAAATGCTAACTAATAAGTAAGCAATTAAACAATGTTGCTCGGCCAGTTGAAGAAGGTGAACGTGCATGCTCGGTTCCCGTCCCGGTAAATTCTCCGGATGCTCTTTAGAGGCTCTGTCTGCAGGGTGTCATCAAGGAATTCCTATTGAACCTTACCAAAAGCAGTCTGGGGAATACATCAGTGGCCTGAAGGCCATGGAGAGATACTGCCGACCACTTGTCGGCCAAGGGTGGGCACTGCTGGCCAAGAATAAGGGACTGTCGGCCATCTGTAAGGCACTGCTGGCCACTGATGTGTTGGG